CATGAAGGACAACAAAACACCTCAGCCCCCCAAGAAGACCCCTCAGGACCTGAAGCCCCCCACCAAGACCACTCAGGACCTCAAGATGCCCCTCAAGCCCCCAAAGGAGACGCCGTGGTAGACGTATTCGTAGGCTTACCGTCGCGTGGAGGAAATCCGGTCGTTGGCCCCCTGGACAATAAGTTAGGCGTACCTACTGATGGTTTAAATCAGCCTCAAGGTGAGTTTCATTTCATTCCTCACCCACTTCCTCCTCTGTCTGGCTCCACCTGTCAAGCTCTTGCTGACTGACCTGCTGTCACATGACCTGTAGATTCCCCTCAAGCCCCCAAAGGAGACGCCGTGGTAGACGTATTCATAGGCTTACCGTCGCGTGGAGGAAATCCGGTCGTTGGCCCCCTGGACGATAAGTTAGGCGTACCTACTGATGGTTTAAATCAGGCTCAAGGTGAGATTCTTTTTATTCCTGACCCTCTGTCTCCACCGTCTTCCTGTCTGTCTCCACATGTCAAGCTATTGCTGACTGACCTGCCGTGATGTCCCAACCTCCAGATGCCAACCTCGCCGTCACTGAAGATGAGGTTATCCTGTTCTCTGGAGGCCCCTGCTTGGAAGGTATCGACACCGGCTTCTCCGTACCCGGTCGTTCCCCCACCGCCGATGTTTCCCCTCAAGCAACCTCAGTCACTGCCCCCCCGACTGTCTTGACTCAGTCTCACAGTCAGATCGCTGCTTCTCCGGCCATCCCATCTTGTCAAGCTCCACCAGATGAGGCTATCCAATCCTCCGGAATCCATCTAGACGGTATCGACCCTGCCCTCTTGGAACTCACACAGGACTTATGTGGATCCCAGAAATCCCAAGGACCTCAACTTGAAGGCAATGAAGAGGAAGAGAAGGACGAGAAGACCGCAGATGAAATCTATGAAGAGCTCACCAAGGATGTTCTGGACGAGATCCTTGAGGAAGAGTCAGACGAAGACGAGGCCGCCATCGCTCAGATATTGGAAGAGCAACTGAAGAGTCTCAACCCGGTTCAGGAATCTCCGGATTTACGCGAAGACACCGATGAGGCAGCCCCAGGCCCCACGGGTAATGCTAATCAGGAACGCGAGGGACCTGTTGATGACCAAACCGACTTTGTGACAAACTTCAACCCGGACAACTACCGGATCTGTCCTAAGACAAATTGCCGGCTATACGATTTCCCGGCTCCACCCGCGGCAATGTACACCGATCCACAGTTGATGATTGACGAGTTTAAGCGGTTTGCATTGCATAATGGCTATGCAATTGTACTCAGGCAAACAGTCGAAGGAAAGAGCAAGATCTTCAAATGTGACAGGTAAGCTACTGCTGTCTGTTATTTCCCGCCTCTCTCTATTTTTTGTTATATAAGATTGGGTGATTGACTAGGACCATCTATTTGTGGATTCTAGAGGTGGCCATCCAGACCAAAACAAGCGACCCGGTCAAACTCAAAGTACTGCTCGCTCGACTCGATTGATACGATGTCCATTCGAGGCGACCGCTTATTTTCACAAGAAGGGGGTGAACCAGTGGGCTTTTCGAGTGAAGACAGCCGCTCATAATCACGAGCCTTCCGAGAGCATGTCCGCGCACACCGCCAACAGGAGGCTCACCCCACAGCTTTATGAAGAAATGAAGGCTCTTGGCGAGGCAGGATTGAGGCCTAGCGAGATACTCCGGTCCCTGAAGAAGACCCACCCAAATGAGATCATACTAGCGACCGTCAGCACGATTTACACGGCCCGGAAGAAAGCTCGCCAGGAATCGCTTCAAGGGATAAGTCCGGTTGTTCACTTGAACAAAACCCTGGCCAACACAGACTTCACCACCGCCACCAAAGTAGATAAAGAAGGTACTCTCAAGGCCCTTTTTTTCTGTCACACCAAATCTCTGAAGCTCCTCAAGGCATACCACCACATCATCCTACTCGACTGCACATATAAGACGAATAAGTACCGCATGCCTCTGCTCCACGTGTCTGGAATCACCGGTTCGAACAAGACATTCAGTGTCGCATTCTGTTTCATGGCGGAGGAGACGGAGACGTTCTACGATTGGGCACTGCAAACCCTTGTCACCATTTTCCGAAGCAACAAGATCCCCCTCCCCCCTGTTGTCATCACCGATCGAGAGCAGGCTCTGATGAATTACCTGGCGACCTCGTTCCCCGACGCCCACCGAATGCTATGTGTTTGGCATATTCAGAAGAACCTCTTGGCGAAAGGCTCAAAACTCATTGCTGAAGATGAACAACGAAAGGATATGCTTCAATACTGGATGAACATAGTCAAGATTTCGACACGGGGGGATTTTCAAGCTAGTTTCTCCCGCTGGGCCAACAAATATGGGCCAGCCTTTGAAAAATATGCCACCTCGACCTGGTTTCCTGTTGCCAAACACTACTCCAATGCGTGGACCTGCACTGTGCCTCATTTCAACAACCGGACAACCTCGCGAATGGAATCGGCTCATGCATTCATCAAGTCTCACCTCCTTGGGCCACAACAAACATTTACCTCGGCGGTCCAGCTCATCAGCAATGCAATTAAAGAGCAATATCACCAGATCACCAGCCTCCATTTCCAGCAAAAGATCACGACCCTTCGATACCTTGGCAGCATCTTCCGGCACTGCATTGGGAAGATCACGAATTATGCCCTCGGTCAGGCCTTCAATAATCTTACGACAGGGAAGAAACTGGGCCCAAAAGCGCATTGCAATCAACAATATGTCCATCGAATGGGCATACCTTGCAAACATCAACTAGGTTAAATCTCACAATCGGGAGGAACGGTATCGCCGGATGATTTCCATCTCCAATGACATATGAATGTATGTTGCTTTCATATATATTCCCATCTGTTTCCATTTGGTTCTGACATGATTACTTCCTCAGGTCCCCAAACGTGATCCATCCCCAACGGCAACCCCGCATGATAACCCAATGATTGCGAAGATCATGGATCGGCTACGTTCCATGAATCCTGCCCAGCAGGCAATCCAAATCGACGCCATCAACCAGCTGCTTGAAGGATCCGGGGCGGTTGTAGATGTCCAGTTGCCGACCGAAGCTCAGAAGACTCAAGGACGACCAAAAGGAGCGACAAACAAACCAAGGACCAGCCAAAGGGAACCGTCGGCTTTTGAACATGTCGAAAAGAAGAGGAAGAAAGAAGAGAGTGAAGCCGTCAAAGCCAAGAAACAGAAGCTGAACAATATCAAAGCGGAGATGAAGGCCTTCCGAAAAGACGACCAGAAGGCATTACAGAAGGAAGAAGAGGAGGAGCTTGAGGCATCTGAGGCCAGGAAAGACAGCCCCGAACCAAAGAAGAGGATCCTCCCTCCTCGGAGCGCTCGTGTCAAAGCTCCCCCGCCTTCCAACCTCGAATCACCACCCACAAAGTCCAACCAAGTGTTACCCCCCACGACCAATAAATCCGAAACACCGCCAACCAAAGCAGGACCAGCCCCAAAGAAGAAGATTCAACCCATCAAAACCGCGAGCCTCCCCACCAAAAAAGAAGGACCCGCCACAAAAGAAGAACCCGCCATGCTTCCAGCAAAACCATATGAGGAAAACGAGCCAGAAGACACCGACGTATCCAGCTATCGTGAGTACCTCCCACCCATAGTCAAGGACTCGGTCAAAAGCATCTTCAACCCAAGATCGGATGGACACTCTGGGTTCCGGGCGGTCGCGTGGTGTTTGGGACGAGACCAGGGGGATTACATGCGGATCCGTGAGGCGTTCATTTCCGAAATCACGAGCCGGAGGGAATGGTATGTCAGAAAGGGAATCTTCCACCGAATAGACAAGATGTTGGACAGCCTCAAGGTCGACACACCTGGACCCTGTTCATCTGACAAATGGATGTCGATGCCAACTTTAGGTGAAGCAATGGCCAATGCATTCCAGACGGCCGTTTTCTCCTTTTCTCGATATGGCTCTCTGAGCTTTCTCCCTTATTTCTGTCCCCCCAACGACAACAAACCCATCATCATTGCTCATGTCCCCAATCACTTTGTTGCCTTGGAAATGTTTGACCCTCTATACTTTCCAGCACCACAACTTATGATGAAAGATTGGAAGGAAAAAGCCATACCCGAGGCTTTACCATGGGAACATAAGTATTCTGCTTGTCACGTCCTCACTGTTGGACGCAAGATTTTATTCCCAGAGATCACTCATTACTAATTCTATTCTTCATGTTTTGTTTCCTCTCCTTCTCCATATTTTTTCTCAGATTAAATTTCTTGCTTATGTTTCCACTCTTGATTCCCCTCCTTCTCCTTGTGTCTTCTCCTCCTCCGGCTGTTTCCATTTTTCCTTAATGTTTCCTCTCCTTCAGTTTGCTTCATGTCTTGTGTCATCTCAGTTTCCAATGCTAGCTTATGTTTCCTCTCCTTATGTTTCTCTCAATGTGGGTTTTGACTGCTAAGTGGTGTACATAAAACTCATATTTTGCTTGATTCATCAATCAATTGAATATGACTAGCAGTGATTTCTGCTTTTGATGATATTTGGTCATTTTGCCATTTTTTCCTCCTTTCATTGGAGAATGGTTCCCTGGATTCTTATATCTCATAATTACTTTTGATTTTCTGTTTTGTGATGTTATTTTTTGTAATTTAAACTACAATACTATTGTATTGTATTTTATTGCATTCCATATTTTATTTTATGGAATGGCTTTTTGCCATTTTCCTTTTTTATTTTTACTTGATTTGATTTTATCCAAGGGGCCCCTTTATTCAATGAGGTTGAATTTTTAAATAAATTGATGGGTTTATTTTCCTTTTATTTTAAAGGTCTTTTTTCAC